TATGGGGAGCGACCACGAGAGGCCGTGGGTGAAGGTGCTGCCTGTCAGCCTGCTGCAGGCTGGGCTGTTGCTCTGGTGTGCGTTCAGGGAAAAAACGGAGATCGATGAGCGACTGGAAGCAGTTTTCTCCGGTCGGACCGTGGACTCTTTAGATGCGGCCCAGAAAAGCAATGCTCTCCTGCAACCGCGGAAGGAGAAATGAGGCTGGGAGTGTGGCTGCAGTGAAGGGACTGCCAGAAGTTTGCTGGTATTCACCTGGTTAAAAGCTGTACTGACACTTTAATGGGAAAACTTGTTTTTCCTGCCGGTCGGCAGTCTTATCTTGCAAGCGTGACTCCATGTATCTTGCTGCTTTCTGTGCCGCTCTTAGCTTAGTAATTCACCCTGGTGGCGCAAGGAGCGGTCTCTTCCTGCATTGCACAGTAGGGATGAGCAGGCTGTATTGCAAATCCACTTGCGTTTGAAGATATGTTTTATAGAACCCATCTCCTCCATGGATTTTTTTTCTTAGATGCACCGTGTATTAAAATATCGAAGCTGTAAGTCTGTAAAATTGCTGCTGAAGGTGACCTTCATTTGACATTTTGCTAGTCACAGAGTATGTTCGACTTGCGACTGTAAGTGTATGATTAATTAATGTGTGATTCTTTTCTGTTCTGATTTTTTTTAAATTCTACCAAACAATGTAGAAATTACCTTCTTCAACCCTTAATGCATAGTCGGTGCTCACTTTCTGGACTAGAACAATGTAGTATCTGGTTTTTCCTATGGATTCATAGATACTCAAACTTGCATACTCTGGAGTCTTTTCTTGGGGAGGAAGAATCTAAGCTACTAATATGACTTAGTTCCCTTCAAAGCTGGAGGCATTTTTTTAAGCTTTCAGATGTGAAAATGCAACACTTTTTTTGTGCCATTAAAATTCCTAATTAAAAAACAGAACAAAAACCAAACCAAAAACCCTAAACGAACCAAAAAACCAAATGCGGCAGCAGCTAGTAAGACATGCTGGAGCTACCAAGAAAACTGACTTAGTGTCGTGTTCATCCAATACTGCTGATTAGTCTCTGAAGAACATGCACCATGGCTTTTGGTTTCACTGTAGAGTCCCTGCAGTTTGGCCAGGTGATACCTAGGAAATGAGTACTGTTGGTTTGGTACTGTCACAAGGCTTAATTTGTCTTGGGATTCAACTTTTACTACAGTAGAGTGCTGCAAGTGAGGTCCGTGCAGGGGGGTGTCCTGGCGAACAGAAGAGAGAGCCTGGATTTTATTTATATTGACCTAAGGTGTAATGCCTGTTTCTCTAGCTTTCTTTCTCCCCAGTCTATTAAAACGACAAGCCCAGCAACGCACTACTTTGTTTAAGGAAATAAAGAGCTGCCCCTTTGTGTGTGCCTTGTTTTTGGGTGATGCGATAGGTGTTTAATAAAGAATACCTGTAAAACTGTTCTCGTAGTCTCTTGCTTTTAAGGTGTTGGAAGACTTACAAACCATTTGCCTGCAGCGTTTAGTCGTTAAAAGCGTGGAGAGCAAGGCCGTCGGCTGAAGCTGGCTGAAGCAGCTCTGCGTGCTCTTTCTAAAACGCGCAGCCTCCAAGGCCTCGAGGCACACGGACTGCGTAGTCGGACGCTTCCAGCGGGTGCGCCGTGTCCAAGAACACACGCTCGCCCACGG